CTGTTTCAATTATTAGTTATTGATGTTTATCATATAGCTTTGGTAGAGAGCCAAAGTAAATAACTTTTATTTCTGAGAAACACGTATTTGAACATGTAGCAGAGAATTGGCAAAAAAGTGCTATTATTTGATAGAAAAGAAATAAATTCACAAAATGAATGAGAATGTGTGATTTTATTATAAATATTCTTGTACCAATTAATACCTGATTAGGATAAAACACTTTAGGTCTTTGGAAATGCATATACCACACTGTAATTTCGAATAGACAGGATCATATACATATTTTGCATCTTGAGCTGGTAGTACAGTGTGATAGTTAGTTAAATGTCAGGCCTGACCTTTACTGTACGGACAGATTCCTGACATCTTTTGTCACCACTCCATTCTTTTGGATACTTACGCTTTACAGTTCTATAATGCAAGTTTCTGAATATATCTGTAATTTTAATTATGTTTCTTTAATTTACATTGACTAAGATTGATTTTTTTTCTATTTTGCTAGTTAGTTTTACAGTTAATTTAATAGCTCTGTTGAACAATATTTCTGTGTTGCATTCTTCAGTTCAGAGCTGAAGTATTGGGAAAGTTAAATTACATAAATGTTTATTAGATACCTGCTAAGTGCATAAAAGGGCATAAAGATTACATGCAAATGCTACAAGTATCTAATATGCATCTATTGCTACATATGATTAAAGCAATTTATTTTTCAGGTTGTTCTGGAAGGAAAATTCAGCAATGATGAAAGTTCATCCTATGATAAACCAGTAACCTTCCTTTCTTTGAAGCTGAGACTTGTGAATATATTGATTGGAGCACTCCAGACAGAAACAGACCCCAACAACACACAGATGATACTAGGTTGCTTTTCTACTTGATCCATGAGATGTGTGCTTTTGAAAAAAGTTTTGTGTATGTTACTTGAGTGCTCATAAGATCAGATTCCAGTTACTGGCGATATTATAAATAGTTGCCTTGAAGAAGTGAGGGTATAAATATAGATAGAAGGTTGAAGCTAGTGTGTTGCTTAATCGTTAACAATAGCAGCAGAATATATCAGGCTGCGACAAACCAGGAAATTGAACTTAGAGGCAGCTACATGATACAACAGGATGAGCTGAAGTAGTAGGAGAAAGGTTTGGATGTCAAGAAAAGCAGCCTAATGCTTCTTCTACATAAGATTAATGTTACAGAATAGGAAATTAACTCCCAAGGGCCGCCTGCTTCCTGACTTCAGGAATACAGGTTTGATAGGACTATAGATCCCTCTTCTGACCAACAGCTCTGGACAGGTCCAAGTCCAGGATTTTTTGTTTCCTTGGTGCCCAGTATCAGGAGCCAGAGTGATAAATGACTATCCTAAAAAATTAGTGAACACATTTTTACAATATTTCTAATGTTCTGATGACTCCAATTTAATCTTATTGATTAAGGAAGATAAAAATGAAAATACCTATTTTCAGTATTTTTTCTCTGCAAGGAGATGATGTTCAGATAGAAAGAAAATTTTGAGTTTATAAGTGATTGATACATGTTACTGTGATGAAAGACAGAAAGCATGGGCTGTTCTGTACTTTATTTGCATCTACAGGTACATAATATTTTGGGGGGCTCATTGGAAGAGGACATAATTTCTGGACAAAGAACTCAAAATACACTTTCCTCTGATGGAATACAGAAAAAACTATTTTTTTTAAACTGTTGAGAATTGACTTTTTTTTTTGACAGATGTACGTGTGCAGTTGTCTGATACCACATCTTTTTATTTATTTATTTATTTAAACAAATCCTCTCCCCCAAATTATGCTTTTTGTTTTGTTTTTTACCATGTACTTATCAGAAAAAAGGGCAGTCTCTGAAAACCAAAAAAAGAAAGGGAGAAGAATATTTCAAGTATCAATAAAAAAAAATATTTTAGCATGGGAAAGCCTAGCGTGTTTCAGAAATTCTTTTCTCACCAAAGCATAGATATTGATAAAAATATATATTTGTTTTATTTTTGCTTTCATAATTTTTAAAAATTCACTATGTACATTGACCTTACATATACACATTTCCAAAATGTGCTTGAAACTCTAAAGTGGAAAAAATTCTCCATTGCGTATGCCTATGTGATTCTGGATGGACAAATTGTGGCCCTCCAGCTGTTTAACTCCCATTAGTCCTAGCCATAAACACCAGGGCCAAGAAAAGACAGAAACTGTAGTTGAACTAGATCTGGAAAATGGAAGCTGCAGTTATCCATGCTCTGTTTAAAAGAATACACTCTTAACCCAGACTCTTAGCAGATATTGGAAGCATCAAAACAGATTAATACCAGTCCATATTAAATTCTCTGGCTAATACAGTATTGTTGGTAACTGCTAAATGTGTTTCTTGGGTCAGTCTGAATGGTAAGTCAGAGTGCCCATCAGAAACACCTGAAGAACTCAGATTGCCCTGAGCTGTAGACTACTAGATTCTCTTTTTACACATTTGTTACTTATCACATTGTAATCATTTGATAAGCTCCATACTATATATGGATTCCTGTGGTAACCAGGTGTTAGACTTGGTGGCCTAACTCCCTTCAATTCTAAGAATCTTTCCTACTTCCTGTATTTCATTTTGTCTGTTATTTAAGGTGGGCTGCATCTTGAAATGGCAGCAGACCAAAAGTTACAGTGTAATACATTCATAATTACATAATCTTTTCCAGCATATACCTGTGTTTCTGTTATCATATGTAATGCTTTTTTGAGTGTAATAACTGTTTAATTTAGAAGTATTGCTTTGCCTTATTTAGTGTATCTGTAATTGCCTAGTCTGTAATTTCATAATTTAAATTATGAATTTTGTTTTTATTAGTTTTGTCCTTCTCTGTATTTCTGTGGCATTTTGAAACTTAAGAATGCTTCAAGTGTCCCTAGAATGCTGATTAATGCAGGTAGAGAGCTGAAATTAAAAATGTGGTGAAGTGAGAGAAAAAGGAGAAGAAAAAAATACTTTCTAGAGGAAAGTATTGGTGCTCATTAAAATATTACACATTGCAGCAGTTGAAGGATCCACTTCTTTAGTTATTTCTTTTTCTTATAAAGACTTCACAGCATATCTTGCTTGGGAATGCCTGGTGTTTTCATAAGTCATTTTTTTAAGTCATTTGAAATAATATTTTTGTATTTTTTGTTTGTAGCACTCTTTTTTTTTTTTTAAGTGGCCATTCAGATGAATAAGGAACATAAGATGCCTCTTTTAACCAAAAATGTATTTAAGTAAATGAAAAAAAAAAAAGATCAGGTGACACTAGAATGGTAGTATTAACTAAAAACATTGAACATATTTTTTATTTATTTGTTTATATGTGTGTGTGTGTATATGTGTGTGTGTGTATTTTCACACATTTGTCATCACCCAGCTCCCTAGAAGTGACTGAGTGATTTACAGTAAAAGGATAAATATTAATTAAAATACAATAAAACCCTAGTCCTACAAATAATAAATAATATCTTCCAAGATTGATGGTGAAATTATTAAGCTCGAACATCAGGGTTGGTTATGCATATGTATGCGCAAAAGAAAAATAACGATGTATAAACCACAAAAAATATGTATGAATATGGTAGAATGGACCTGAAACCTATGGATTCTTAACAACGTGAGAATTCTGAAATTGGTAAAAGTGAATCTGAAAAGGAATTTCTAATTTTCAAAAATTGGGAGCATCGCCTCCCAATGCAGTAAAGTACTGGAATTAATGTTGTATAGATTTTCACAAAATGACAGTGACAACAAATGTCATTAGATACAGGGTTATATAGACAGACAAGTTAGCTGCATAGATATTGTCATATCTTAAATCTAATTCTACAGGTGCGATGTTAAACATTGTGCAAGATTCAGCACTTCTAGAAGCCATTGGTTGCCAGATGGAAACGGTAAGATTTCTTTCATTTTTAAGAAGAGATGCTTTGATGAGTCAAAGCAAATTATCATATAGCAACGGCACAAAAGATATCTGAGTTCTGAGAGGATAGCCTTCCTCTTCTTATAGAACCCTGCTTTCTGAATTAACAGAATGGTGGTGAGAATATTGTCCTGAAAAGCCACAGTCGCACTAACAGTGGCATTAGCACGGCAAGTGGAGGAAGCACAGAACCAACAACTCCTGACAGTGAGCGACCTGCACAAGCTCTGCTAAGGGATTATGGTAAGATTGGCTATCTTAATATCTGCAAAACATCCCTAGTCTACCAATCCCATTTTTTTTAATGGTACCTGAAAGGTTTTGGAAGGTTTACAATTTTAAATTAAAAAAAAGTATAAACACATATATTTTATTGCAAGGTACAAAATTCACCACTTATAGACCATCCTGTTCCAGCAGGCATTTGGGTGGTGGAGATGATAATGGGTTGCCTTTTCAGCAGGCTCTGCTTCGGTTTTGTTCTGTGATTATACAGGTATCATTTTAGTACATTTCAGTTTATGACTCTGTAAATATCCTGAGTCTTGGAAGAAGGTAGATATTTATGTTGCTATAGGTATAAATAAATCACTGTTATTATGATAAGGGACAGAAGGGGAAAGTTGTTGGGTAATAATTGGTGTTTTTGCTTTTTAGATTTATATCCTGCCTTTATTTTGTACAACTCAAGGCAGCCTGCATAATGTTCCCTCCTCCTATTTTCCCCACAACAACAACCCTGTGAGGTGGGTTGGGAGGCTCTCACTCCATAGTTTTTCTACCTATTCCCTTGTTGCAGCTTTTTCCCTCCATCCTTTCAATATTGCTACTTTTTTATTCTGATCATCATTTACAGCCTTCAGAATGTTACTAGATGTATATAATATTCAGTCTGGTTTCCAGAATGGAGAAATTTTTGTGGCTTCATTTTCAAATGGTATCAGAACAGTCTAATGTCATTATAATTGGGAAAAAGATGTAAATAACTTCACTAAATGTTGCAGTGTCTTCAGTTCTTTGCCTGATTTTCAGTTTCTTGACTCCTTATGTTTGTATTTATTGACTGCGCTAAATGTGTACTATGTTCTAGAGCTTGTCAGAGAAACCCAAGATTTATTAATCAATATTAATCAGATGTATCTAAAATATTGTGTGTATGTGCACATATGTATGTTATGTATGGTTCCACTATATTTAAAGATTTAAACGTTCTACACAAATCTTTTCATTGTAGAATTCACTTCAGGATCTGGCAGAGCAGCATATACTGTATTGTCTCATTTAGAACATTCTGGCATGCTTTTCTGTGGCAACTATGTTTAAGCTGGAATGACCTTTTTGACTAGAAAAGCTTATGTTTTCATATGCATTGAGATGCAGTTGTTATCCGAGGTTACAGATTTCTGAGTCTGATAAACCAATACTAGTTGAAGGTCAGCTTCTTTGATAAAAGTTAGAGATCCCAGTCATCCTTCTTAAGAACCCAGAAGCCAGTTACAATGAATTTCCAAATAAATTCAGCAGACAGAGAGCTCTATTTGCATATTTAAATATCCATCTGAATCCCTTTCTACCATTAATTTACATTAGCCTGCCCCATTAGATCTAGCATTACATTTACATCAGGTAGATTACATCAGCTAGCCCCATTAGATGTGGCAGAGAAGGTATGCTGCAGATACCATCTGTCAGGGACTTATATTTGGTAAGTCCCAGATGGTGGGCCTTCTCTGTCATGACACCCACCTTATGGAACATTCTCCCCCTCAAAATTAGGTTAGCTCCATCTCTCTTGATGTTCCAGAAGTCCCTCAAGACCTGGTTATGTCACCAGGCCTGGGGGTCCCAGGGAACTGGAGACTTGTTTAGATGGCTCCACTATTGAGGTGGATGTATTCACACTCTCTCTGCCTGGGGTTTGTATATTTTTAATTTTAATAACTTTTAATTTTTAATGTTGGTTTTTTATATTTTTAAATGCTTGTTTTATATATGTGTTGTTTTTTATTTGATTATTGTACACCAACCAGAGTCATTTCTTGTGAGACTATATAAATTTGATTAATAAATAAATTAATAACAGTAAAAATATCACTTTTAAATAAGGCATCAGATAAGTTACTCTTATCAGATGACTTATTTTTAAAAATATATGTTTATTAGCATTTACAAATACAGAGATAAAAGAGTAATACAAAGGAAAATATAAAAAATAAAGAAAAAAAGGAAAGTGTAAAGAGATAGGAAAAAGAAAGGAAAAAGAAGATATATAAAAAATGACTCCCCCCTCCCTCCAGACAAGTATAAACTTAACACCTTCTCTAGTATTTCAGTTTTTAAAAAATCTCTTCTTTCCATATTTCATCTCTTATCAATAATCAAATTGTAAAAACTCATCATTCATCAGCAAAAGTCTATTAAGAGCTACCAGAAATAGTAACATATGTATTTTAACCTTAATTTTAAAAAAATCAATTTGTAATCCAATTTACCACTTTCTCTAAGAAGTAAAGCAAAAGACATCTCTCCCCACTTATGAACAGATCCTTAAAACCTGGTAATTTAGTCCTGGCAAAAAAAAAAAAAAATCCCGTTAATAGCAAGTAGAAACCACAACATATATTTTAACCCTGGTCAAATAAGTTCACTTTATAAACCTTCTGTTTGCTTTTAAAGAGCTTAATCTTTAATGCTGTCAAATAATCTCCCACAAGTTGATTTCTTATCATTTTCTCTGTCTCCTTTCAGGAACAACTTCAGTAGTTTCTCTTTGTCTCCTCTCAAAAACAGCTTCATTGGTTTAACACATTCCTTTTGTAAATCCAAGATAAGAAGGCTTTCCAAGTCACTCTTTTGATTTATTTATTTTATTTGTATGTCTCCTTTAATTATTATGACATCAGTTGGTTTCATTTGTAGATCCATTTTGACATCTTTTTCCATATTTTATACTCTGGCATTTTTAAATCCATTTTCAGATCCACAGCATCTTTTTCCATATCACTCTTATAATCCAGCATATTTTAAACTCCAAATCCACATTCAAATAAACCTCATTGTCTATTTTATCCAATAAAATCTGTTGTTCTTCTATATCCTCTGTTATGGTATCAAACAATCTTGTAAGTAATTTCTGAGTACATTATTCCCAAACAGCCTTAATGTCTTCCATAGTCAAATAGCTCCATTGTATTAATGGGTTTCTTCTCCTTTAATTGTAATAGTTTGTTCTCTCTGGTTCCCTCTAGTCAACCTTCAAGTCCCTTCTTATCATCTGTTTATTTTCCAGGCAGCAAAACGTTCCCATGGGAGGATTTCTTACAATTAATTTGAAAATCTTCATATATTCATTTATAAATTTTAAAACAACCCACAGGAAATATTCTTTCAAGTCCATCTAGCCCCTTAACTTTCCAAAATCCACATTCTAGTCTCCCTTCTCTATTTTCCAAAAAGTAAATCTTTTCTTTTTAATCCTTCCGCTTACATGGAGCTTCTTTTATCCAGGGTAGAAGGAGATTCTCCCAGCGTAATAAAACTTGTCCTTTGGAAGGTTCTTAACTTCTAAGAAATCAGTAAAAAGCAGCTTCCTAAAGCAATTAAGAGAAGAAGTAGGCGAACCCAGTGTCTCTTTGAAAGGCGCCGAACAGTGGCTTAGGCAGGATGGTTTTCCCCTGGCTCCCAGAACTCTCAGACCTGCTGGAGATTGCTATTTCATGATCTCTTTGCAGGGAGATTCTGTATGGAGCAAGGACTTCCAGGGACAGCAGTGGCAGACTGAACATGGTCCATTTGACAACTGTGGCGGAATAAGGAGCCTGTGAATGGGTCAGCTCCTTGGGACTGCTCTCCGGATCAAGGAGAGGACAAGGATTATCAGATGACTTATCAAAGGCAGTTTAGTTGTTTCACTGAGATAGACTTTTCAGAGTGTTCTATGCTTTTATGGAGGAATGCAATATGTCATCTGATTAAACTTTGAAGTCCTGTGTACTTTTTAAAATGTTTTTTATTGCTTTAATATATAAAAAAAGAGGGGTAAAAGAAAATAATTGAAAAGAAAAAAGAGAACAAAAAAATTATATATAAGATCATTATTAAATCTTAAGTACATGGAATAATATCAGTCTTTCCGTTATGTTGATAGAGAGCCAATTCTCAAACAGAAAATAAATGCATGTTATTGATTCAGGACTGTAAATCAGTTTCTCTAACAGAAAGGGTAACTTTTTTTTTCCCTGTACCTCATGTCAGTAAGTCCATGGTTCTTCATTAAATGATAAATTCCAAACTAAGGTCAGAAGTATATTGACATCTTTTAACTATACTGATCTGTGTAACACTTTAGCAAACTTATGGATATTAAACCAAAATAGAACATAGTAGGATATGCCTATGTCATATGAATAAGTGTCCCCCTCTTCATTTTATACTTCAAAAATGAAACTGACAGCCAACCCAACATTCTCTGAAGTATCCAGTAAATTGTCCCAATTTCTTCAACATACCACCAAAGGTTTTTGGGGTTTGGGTGATTAATAAAGCTTATATATTAGTACTTTTAAGACCCTTAGCCATTGAATGGTTAATGTGGGATATTCCAGTACTTTAATCCAGAATTCTTGCAAATAAACAATATCTACCTTAATGATATTCTTTAAGTGTTTATGATATATATATATATATATATATATATATATATGTAAAATAATC